CACCCGAAGTCAACGGAACCCCCCCCCCCCGCAACGATTAAAGCCCGGCTAACATGGTGGCGCGCCAGGCCTAGTAACAATAGGAACACACCTAGTTCAGACTGGCAGGTAGGTAGATAAACCAGGTGAGTTGAGCCGAGTTTATCCACCTAGTCTGAACTAGCCAATAGCAGTCGAGTTGACTTCCCTTTGCCTTATATACTAGGCTACACTCCGACTTGTGCTTCCCAAACTGTGGGTCTCTTCCGAAAAATAGACAGCAAATATTTGACTGCCTAATGTCCCCTGCACATTATAAAAAAAGACTAATGTTTATTCTTTAACTAAAAGTAGCGATCAATAAACTAGTTACTATTATACTTACTCAACAATGCCTATAAACATATATGTAAGCTAAGTTTAATATACACCATTTTATCTGCTTTATTTTGAAATCTTACAACCTAATACTCCATTACTATATAACCGACTGTATAGTAATGTATTTATATATTATGTTTGTTATTAAATGCCTTTACGGTGTTTTCTCTATTGACCAATCATCATTCTTACCAGAGCTTTGAGCCAGAAAACTTTTAAGATTTGTTTATCAGAAGGCTAGACCCAACAGTTATTTTCAGGACAGCTCTGTTCGTTGCCGGGTTTTTTTTTATTTTACTTTTTTTTTCATTTTGTTAAAGCGATGCATTTTCATTATTGCTATTTGTACTTTTTATTTAGTATTGTTTATATCGTTGTTCTGGTACAGTACAATATCAATAATGACATATATTACATTTAGGGCCAACAGCTGTTCAAACTGAAGCTTTTCACTTCGAATTCCCATCCGAATATGTTTCGGTTCTTCATTATATTTCAAGCCTTATTACACATGGGACCACTTTCATTACATTTGAAAGGGGGGGGGGCATACTTATTATCGTCAACAACCGTCAACAGCTAGCCCTCAACAACCGTCAACAAGCGTTGTTGACGGTAATCAAAGGAGTCGATCCGTTGTGAAAAGTGTGAGGGGGTGGGGAGGAACGAATTGTGTCTATCCTTTTATAATTCGTATTTAATTAATTTTAAGGAAAAAGATTATTTCCAAACTACATTTTCAAAATACAGTGGCGGATCCAGAAATTCGAAATTTCAGTGGGGTGGGGGGCGGGGTGGCCAGGGAATGACTTTTCCAGACGGAGTTAAGATCACCTCAAACTCACAATGGTTGGAGCTGAGGTAAGAAAATTATTTATTATGGCACCTCTAGTTGGCCGGAAATGGCACTCTCAGACTGCTGCGACCCCTTGGATCTGCCACTGAAATACTCATCATATTTTTTCTTTTATCCCGGTAATCATAATCATGCCCGCTTACAAATGTCGTGCAAACTAACATTCATAAAAAATGATTTATTATCTACTGATTAGCTTGTGACGTATTTGAACTAATTCTATAGAGTCTTTTCATATACAGTACATTTAAAATCAATCAATAGGTGTTTCCTTTTCTTCTCTTTTTGAATTTCACTTTTTTAAAAGTTGTATTGCGACTACACTATTGTGAGTGGAATTACTGTACTACCGTCTAACTTACGATCAAACAGGATTAAGAACCACACAAGACATTAGTATTTTTATTGCACACACATAAAGTGATTTACTTAATTTATCATGATGTCATGGCGAGATTGCGTCAAGTACCAACGGAGTAATAGGCCTATACAAAACGAATAAGATAGAAATTGTGCACTTTTGAGTTGGCCTAATTGGTTTACACGCTTCCAATTTTAACAACGTACAGTACGTTGTTTTCATAATAAATTTAGCTTCTGATAACCGCTGCACAAATATAATCGATGGAGCGGTTACTGAGATGGTTAGGAAATGTACAAACAATTGCGTTTTTACACACAGTATTGGTCCGGAAATACGCACAGCACTCGGAACAGAACACGAGTGAAGAGAAAAAAATTGATGACAGTTATTCGTAATTGTTATTGTTCTTTCAACTCGCTTTGAAAAGTGAGGTTTTAACTATAAAAGGTTGGTGAAAAGTGGGAGGGGGACAATTGATATAATGTAGGAGGCGTGTCCCCCATCCCCACCGATCGACGCCCATGACGGTAATTAGTTGTGTACATTATTACTAACCGTTAACAAGCGTGTTGTTGACGGTAATTAGATATAGATATAATATATATATATTTTTGTAATTTAAGTTACCATAATTAATTATATCTTTGCTGTAAGCCTGGGTTACTAACATCATATTTGATTTTGTTTTTGGTATAAACGCTAAGTATGACGCTAAATAAAACTACACTATTATTATTATTATTATTTATTATTATTATTATTATTATTA